AACCCTCCCCCAGGTGTGCCTAATACTACGCGTTCGCGAGGAGCTGGTCGCGTTCGCGAAGGGTAACGCCCCCATCGCTTCGCGTTCGTGAAGAAGAAAACTTCAGCTGCCCAGTTTACTCTTCGTGTTCGTGAGAGTACCTTCACGAACGCGAAGAATGACATGCCAGAACACCTGGTGCAGTAAAATACCAGATTTTTAAAGTCCAAAACATCCCGTGGCCTATCCAAAACTCACCCGAGCCCTCGGGGCTCCAAACCAAACATGCACACAAATCTAAAAACATCATACGAACTTGCTCGCACGATCAAATCACCAAAATAATACCTAGAACTAGGAATTTAGCACTAAATCAAATGAAATTCTCAAAAAAACTTTAAAATTTCTATTTTCTCAACTGGACGTTCGAATCACGTCAAATCAGCTCTGTTTCTCACCAATTTTCACAGACAGCTCTTAAATATCATAATGAACCTGTACCGGGCTCCGAAACTAAAATACGGACCCGATACTAACAATTTCAAATATCAATCAATTCTTAAAAATAAATAATTTTCAAACTTTTAATTTTCATCAAAAATTCATAACTCAAGTTAGGGACCTTTGAATTCGATTCCGGGCATACGTTCAGGTCCCATAATTCGATACTGACCTACCGGGACCGTCAAAGCATGTATTCGATCCTGTTTACCAAAAATGTTGACCGAAGTCAACTAAAATTAACTTTTAAGGCAAAAATTCTTATGTTCATTAGTTTTCAACATAAAAGCTTTCTGAAAACCTTTCCGGATTGCGCACGGAAATCAAAGAGGGTAAAAATGAGATTTTTAAGGCTTAAGAGCGCAAATTCGAGTTCTAAAACATAAGATGACCCTTTTGGGTCATCACACATTCACCCTCCTAACCTCCACCACTAGTTCACGGAGGTCCGTATCAACCAAGATACCTACCTCGTTCCTGCCCTCCACCCTCCCAGAATACCAAAGTTTGAAATTGCCCACATCCCGTGCCTTATCTCCTACCCATCTAGTCTCCTGTGCACAAGCTATATTAATCTTCCTTTTTTCGAGAATATTCGCTAACTCTACAAACTTTCCGGTCAAAGTACCTATGTTCCAAGACCTTACTCTCAGCTTAGTAGCTCCCTTAGCCCTCTTACCCCCCACACACCCTCCCCCGTGCTGACACCCCAGAGGACAAGACCTTACCCTACCATCATTCACCAAAGCCACTATAATCTAGGAGTTACTACGCAAGCACTATCCCGATAACAAGCGATAAAAATAAAATGAATTATCGAAATATAATCTACCACTAAAGATCGCAAAACAGGTGAAGAAATAAAATAAATGAACTAACAGGAACTATAATCTACAACTAAATGTCAGAAAGCAGGTGAAGAAATAAAACAAAGAAACTATAATCTACAACTAAAGGATAGAAAACAGTAGAAGAAATAAAACAAAGGACCTAAAGGGACTATAATCTACAACTAAAGGATAGAAAACAGTAGAAGAAATAAAACAAAGGACCTAAAGGGACTATAATCTACAACTAAAGCATAGAAAAATAGGTGAAGAAATACAATACCAGAGCTAAAGGGGCTATAATCTACAACTAAAGGTCACAAAGAAAATGTGCAAAACTAGAACATAACTGCTAGGGGATATTTCAAATAAAGATTTAAAATGAAGATGTAAAAAGGTATATAACAATATAAACAAATAGGCAAAACTATCACTAATGTAATTAATTTGACAAGTTCTTCGAGTCCCGATCATGTCTCGTCTCGTTTATCCCAGACAAGCTGTAAAGGAACAATATTCTTTAGCAGAACATTTTCCGTTCTCAAACTCGAATACAAGAACTCTAACGAATGGATGGTTATCACCAGAATCTTTGGTGGTCATTTTCTAAGTGATTGGTGAAACCTTTAATGAAACCCCAAAAAATGTACCTAAAAAGGAAAGACAGTGAATGAAAAAAGAGAAGGGAAAGTGGTCCTCTTAAGCACACTGAGAAATGTCCATTCAATTGTCGATCACTAGCATGACTAAATCAAATAAAAGAAAAGAGACCTGAAAAGAAACAATCATGAAAACATGAGACTGTATGGCCGCTATAAAAATAATGGCCAAAATATATATATATATATATATATATATATATATATATATATATATATACATTCTGTATGTTATATACAAATTTTATATATTTTTTCGACTATGTTGGAAAACTAATTCAAAGTTGTAGTATAATACCAAAATTATTTAGGATTTGGTATTTGCTAGTTTATTTCATGTCTAAATAGGATTTGTAGTTAAAATTAATATAGGAATAGGCTTTCATGTTTCTAGTTGAAATAAGTTCTGTACTATTATAAATAGGAATATTAATAGCTGCAATCACGTTTCTGGCACGGGCTAAAAGTGATAATACTCCAAAGATCAATATAAGGAATATCTCTGTCAAACTTATTAATGGGATTTTTTCCTTCATATACAATATTTGAAACTTATTTACCAAAATTATTCTAATTTTGTATATTACCCGCCCTAATTAAAATTTACTTATAATTTATATACAATCCATTATTAGTGCCTTAAATTAGGGGATTCGATTACTCTCTTTTCCTTTTTTCTCTTCTCTCTTCTCTCTTCTTGCCCTATTCTCCGTTGCCTCTATACACTCAAACTCTCTTAATTGAGTGCCAAATTATGTGGGTAGTGAAGCCACACTACATATTTACCATGTAGGAAAATAGGAGTTACCAGTCAATTTTGTGTTTGATGTAAACATTAATACCTTGAAATTGAAGAACACATAGACGTCCAAAAGCAACGGCAATCAGGAGTGATCTATTCTTTTCCTTGATTATACCACTGACTGCCTCTTCTTTTGCAAGCCAAAAATGTTAACTGTTTTTTTACTAGTATTTGTAGTTATTCCTTTACGAAAAAACATCCACATTGAGCACTAACCATTTGATAATGAGATTCAAGGCATTATTTGTCTGATTCACCATATCTTGTTGATTCCCAAATATTTTTCCTTATACTTTCACACATTCTTTCTAACGAGAATTTATTTCCAAAATATATGGAATCTTGCAAATAGCTACAGATTCAAGGCAAGTTATTTGTAAATAGAACTCATGTATCAAAATATGCTCATGTATCGACATCCATCAGGAACTTCTGAACTAACTCCCTTTCTTCTTGCTTCACTCCACCTAAATCATTCAGTTCACATCAATATTCAAGTTTTTCCGTTGAAACAAATATGAATCAGTGTACATGTGTCGATATGGTACATCAACATACAAATTAAAAATAAATTGCGTATAAATTTAATGCATATTTAAATATCTACAACAACATACATAGTAAAAACAAATTTCATACAACTAATTATATATTATACAACTTATCTACAACTTTCATACATTATTTCTACCAAGTTAAATACAACTTAAATACAACTTTTATACAAAATTTATACAATATGTCTTTTGTATATTTTGTATCTGGTTTATACATAGTAAAAATAAATTTCATACAACTAATTATATATTATACAACTTATCTACAACTTATCTACAACTTTCATACATTATTTCTACTCAGTTAAATACAACTACAATATCATACAACTTAAATATAATTTTTATACAAATTTTATATAATATGTCTTTTGTATATATTTTGTATGTGGTGTATGCTTCTTCCTCTCTAAAATTCCAATCAAAACCTACTCTCTTAATACAATTTTGATACATATCAACAACTTTATGTAAAAAGATAGTATTGATAACTTAAATACAAATTTTATACAACGATTCATACATTATACAATTATTTTTCAACTTTCATACAACATTCAAATAAAAAAATCTATATAATACAACATAATACAACTTACATACAATTATAATACAACTTTACTACAATTTCGTAAGTATAGTGTATGTCATGTGTTCTTCTTCTTCTTCTTCTTCTTCTTCGAGTTTCAATCTGAAAATTCAGCCAAAATTAAGTATAATCTTCATCAAAACACCCTCAAAATTTAGATATAAACTCCAAACACTATTTCCAATTGTTTGCAAAAACACTCAATCCAAACAAATAATGGTTTTTGAAAATCCAAATTCGATTTCAAAGCTTCAAAGCTTTTTAATGGCTGTCAATGGTGGAGAGTCAAACACTTTCAATATTTATTGATTGACAATTTCAATTTGAACATCAATTGTACAACATGAAAGGAAATTGCTAAGTTAAAATAATTGAAATCCACTGATGAATTCCATTAAAACTAGGGGTGTTCAAAAACCGAACCGAACCCGAAAACCGAACCGAAATCGAAGCTTAATGGCTTATTGGTATCGGGTTAACGGTTTAACGGACNCATGTTGTCTATGTTTAATAGAAGAACATCAGTGTTGTGCCACAACTTTTTTCACTCTACAACACATGACACACTACATCATTCTTATGTAGGCGCTAACAGATATGTATGTTTGAATTAGGCCGATAAACCGCCCAATAACCGCCCGATAAGAGCTAAACCGTTACCAATCCGCCCGATATCTTATCGGGTGGCTAGCGGATTAATACATTTAAAAGCCGATAACCGTTAAGCCAAACCGTTAAGAGTAATTAACCGCCCAATCCGCCCGATAAGCAGCCCTAATTAAAACTCTATACAAAACAAGAAAGCATAAAAAACAGAGAACATCAAATGAAGAAAAATTGAGGAAAAAAACAGAGAAGGAGAGTAGAGAGATGAAGAGAGAGAGAGAGAGAGAGAGAGAGAGAGAGAGAGAGAGAGAGAGAGAGAGAGAGAGAGAGAGAGAGAGAGAGAGAGAGAGAGAGAGAGTGGACAAGTATAAAGGGATAAGAAAATAACTGATATTCCTTATTCAATTCCTAAAATAAAGGGATACTCATTTAAAACTTATTTGTATATAATTGATAAATTGTATATGACCATGTAATTAAATTGAAACTTGAGTAACGAGGATAATAAAGTTTCCAATAGTGTATAGGACGGTAAAAATCCCTTATTAATTGGTAATGTAACTCGTGTACGTTTCCATTGGACTTCTTCTTTTGTGAAAGAACAAGTCTTCACATTTCCTTATTCTTTAAATGTACTAATTTTACAAAGAATTAAAGATCAATTATTTTTTGCCTGTTCTAACTTGGAAGGATAACATTTTTGGATAAGGATTGGTCTAATGATCGTAGCATATATACAAAAATGGATTCATTGGCAAAGGAGCCTCTTAAATTGAAGCTATTCCAATGTTATTTTATTAAGATAAATCTAACAATAGGAAATATTTGTGTATGCTTAATGCACAGAGATTAAGCTAATAATTTAATGACTCGTGAAATTTAGTTTTGGCAATATAAGATATTGCAAGGACCATGAAAAGAGAGTTCTTGCAAATTGAAGAGCCAAAGACTAACCAGAAGTGGGGTGGAATTTAATAATAAGATTCATCCACCCTTAACTAGAGATTTCAGGTTTGAGCACGAGAGATACAATAGAAAGCGTTCCTCTTTTAATAAGCCTTATATGACGTGAATCTAGATTAGTCAGACCAGTGTGCTTCTCCAATTAGATGCATAAAAATAAAAGAGCCAAAGACTTGTAACAAGTCCAGGAAAAAAGAAAGACTTGTAACAAGTCCAGGAAAAAAGAAAGACTTGTAACAAGTCCAGGAAAAAAGAAAGACCAGTATCAAGTCCAAGAAAAAAAAAAGACCTGCATCAAGTGATGACCAAACACATCATAATCAACTTCTTGTTCTTCTGTACACCTTGCTTTTCAACCATACACACACCATCCAAAAACTATTGCATTTAGTGAAATGAAATCCTTCAAGTTGAACCTTATCCAAAGCTATTCAGACCCATCACCAAATTGCTGTTGTCTAATATTGCATTCACTCGTTCATAACTTGTTTTTTGGTTTTGTTTTCACTTTACTATTTTGTTTCCAAGAGAGTTGATTTGCAAAGCAGCAGGGGAGGAGGAGAAGGGGACCATTTCTCAATTTGTGTATGTCATCCGGTGTTTGCAATCTTTTTGAACAAGAGAGGAAATGAACTCATTCTTGAAAGAACAATAGTTTCAAAAAATGGTTGGAGATGATAATAAAAGTTTCCTGTTAGTTACAGAAAAAATTGCTATAAAATTGCAGACTACAATATGTATGCCAGTGGAAAAGGGAACCTACTTACAAAACTTAATCAAGGTACCTCTTTAGCTGAGCTGCCTTTGAAATTTAACAGATTCATCGTTTACTTGCTTCAACAAGCCATTTTGTTCTGCAGCATATACCCTAACCATGTTCGGCCAACTCTCTACTATAATGGTTGCCTTGACTGGAAAAATCTGAATTAAAATCTTGACTAGCAAATGCCATCCTCCGAAACAATCTTATTTGTGCAGATTGCTCCGCAGAGTTATATATTACACTTTCACCAACTTTCATCCCGTTTGTCAGATCAGACATAAGCATACTATCAAAAGCTCTCATGATCTGCGAAAGCATAAGCATGATGAGAACATAAATGTCATTCCACTAAAAACGACTTAAGGTTGTTTGTGCATTGCTTTCCAGAAGTTACCTGTCCCATCCCTGGTCTCTTTGCAGCTGAGTGACGCACACAAGCAGCAGCGACCTCAGTCATTTGAAACATCTCATTGGCAACATAGTTCTTCTCAAGGCGAGGATCTTCCAACTTATCAAATTCCTCTTTCTCAAGTGCATGACTAAGCAAAGGTCGAGCCTGGAAGTGATCAAATAAAAGCACAGTTAGTGGAAGTCCTTGCTCGACAAAATGAGAAGGAATATAAGTTTCTGTTGCTACTGTTATTGGCTTTGGTTACCTAATGATCAATTAAATGATAGTTGAATTTCAAGTTTAGACTTGTCTTAGGATCTATGATTTTGGTAAGATGAGAAAGTTGCAATGAAATTTAAGCAGACTACTTTCTGCTGTTTGATTGTTGCAAAAGCAACACGACCTCAATGTTTCAGGTGCAGAAAAGATTGGTATTGCAGGACTGGTAGGTGCACATAATTCTCGGCGCCATCTGAATCCAAATCAGACCATTGTATGATTGTATCACAGCAAAAGAAGTGAAGACAGAATCCTTCCAGGGGAGAATCAAAGTGGAAGGCTTGCCTTATAAGATCTCAGCGAACAGGACATTCATTGCAAAGGAAATACTCAAATAACAAATTGACTTCAGGCATTCAACAAGAAAATATCAGGTTCAGTGAGACTACTATCTTTCTGGTTGATTCAGCTATGCTGCTAAGTGATAGGAGCAAACATGTTGTATGTGAAAGAAAGAAAAGTAGACAAAATAAAAGAAAGAAAAGTCAAAAAGAGATGAAAATATGATGTAAGCGCTTACGTCGGCATTCTTATGATGTAAGCGCTTACGTCGGCATTCTTATGATGTAAGCGCTTATGTCGGCAGGGCATCAAATGCCTATAAAAGGGGTATGCATTTTCATTTGCAGATCATCCCTCAACTTCTTCTTTGTCTTCAATTAATAAAGAATTATTCTTTGTGTGGCCGTGGAGTAGTCACAGTATTTTGGATAGCGTGTGGCGACAAATAGCGACGAGGGCCCGCTTCACTGAGGCGAGAGGCGCGCAGCGAAGTGCTCGCCTTTTTTATGTGAAGCGACAATTTATACAAAAAACTAAAATATTATATGTATAACTAAAAACTCAATAACAATAATAGATTAATAAATATATCAATTCACAATATGCAATTAATTCTACTCTATAACTGAAAAAGGAGGAAATTTCAGGTTTGAAGTTAGAAGTTCTCTGCCTTTGCCTCTGCAAAAACAGGGTGCAGTACTGCTGCTCAATCAAAAACATAGCAAAAAAAAAATAAAGAGAAGATCAGAAGAAGAAGAAAGACGAAAAAATAAAACAGAGCATAAACATACTCTCTGTTTTGTTTTTTGCTACACTGATGCTTGACAAAAAACAGAGCAAAAAAAATAGAAAGAAGAAGAGAAGGTCAGAAGAAGAAGAAAAACTAAAAAAAACAGAGCAACAGACTCTCTGCTCTGCACTGTTGCTCGACAAAAAACAGAGCAAAAAAAATAGAAAGAAGAAGAGAAGAAGAAGGAAAAGGAAGAAAGAAAGAAAGAAAGGAGAAAGAAGAAGAAGAAGAAGAAGAAGAAGAAGAAGAAGAAGAAAGGAAGTCGAAGAAGAAGAGAAGCTTACCTGGGCTGGGTGGTCTTGGCTGCTCTGTTGTTAGAAGGTTGAAGAAGAAAGAAACATGAAATAGCTGCAACCCTAATGTTTTAAGTCGTTGGTCTTTTTTTTTAAAAAATATCTAAGCCTTTTTCTTTCTTTATTTTCAAAAAGCAACGCCACAGCTCGCCTCTCGCTACGCAGGCAGAGGCGCTCGCCTTTTACAATCGCAACGCAACAGAACCAAAATAGCGCAGGCTGCTCGCATCGCCTCGCCTCACGCTATTAGCGCTGAGGCGAGCGCTATTTATAACACTGCTGTAGTCAAAAATTGCCGAACCACATAAATCTTGTCTTGTCTTGTGCAATTTATTGCTTTTCTCTTTTAAATATTTTTTTCCTTTCTATTAGCCTGACACGCTTCCCAACACTAAGTGCAACCAAGATGTTTACATTGGAGACTCAAGGGCATGAGAGAAGAGAGTAATCCTTCAAATATGTTTCTTCTCAATTCTATGAGACAAAAGAAAGCAGCATGCAATTCCCTCAGAATATACGAATAGCTGAAAGACCCTAGAAGATAAGTTAAACTTGGGCCTATTGCGAGTAACAAACAAAATAATAGAAATTTGAAGCTTTAGTAGATCATGTATCCCAGGATATGAGCTACAAACTGTCCATCTTAAAGTCTTAATATTTAAAGCTCGGAAACCTCACAGAGCCTAGTTCATCCTCTCTTGAGTCTTGAAAACTACTCGTCACATACTATGTAAGCTAGTACTGTAACTATTTGGTTGATCTAGTAGATAGAGAGCATATTAGTTAGGACGTCTTATATAACAGGACTTTACGATACTCTTTTGGTGCCATAGTCCATAGGTAAGTCCTCATAATACATAGCAATGAAACAACTGTTATCACTCATAAATGTAAATTATAAGATTAATTCACAACATGCTTGCCAGTTGTCACGTTCTTTTCAAAATAAAGACATGCTTTTGGTCAGTCATCATACTTATCATGTCTAAAAGCTCCACAAATTACACAGTTCCTTAATATCATCAACATATAGTTGATTGGAAGATAATTAAATGAACATGTTTAGCAGCAGTTATGTCACATCTCCTTTATTCTACAGATGCCCATGCCAAAACAGAGCTAATAGTATACGTAAAGAAGCTGATGATCACAAATGAATATGTTGATTTAACATACTCCTGAATTAAGAATTATTAACATTTAAACCTGTATGCCAAGTTTAAAGGTTGATCGTACAAGACCGAAATATGTCAATTCAAAGTATTTCATGATAATACCTAAATCAAAAGGATTTAGAACAGATTAATAGCGATGCCAGATGTGCAATATGCAAGGATAAACTTGATTTCAAAGACATATAATCAAAGTGCATAAAACAATAATTATGTATTTGGAGTCGAACAAATCCGTAGAAGTTATGGAAATATTTCTAAAACATGTAAGCACATATCTGTCTAGTCTTACTAGTGCCCAAACAAGTAAGCAAATATTTTCTCTCCCACTGTGTCATATAGCTCCAGACGAATCAGAATGAAGTTCTCAACCAATCTTCCACATTTTCTTTCTATCCCCTAACTCAACAAGGGATATTAGAGCAGTTCAGAATTTCAGGTATTTGTATTTGGTTGCTTCACTTTTTGACCTTAGAGACTAAAAATCACCTTTTTTTTTGTCATTCCAGGATACACGATATAGGCCCTATTAATACAACAATATACCCAGTATTATCCCACACCGTGGGGCCTGGGGAGGGTAGTGTGTACGCAAACCTTACCCCTACCTTGTGAGGATAGAGGTCTCAATTATTCAGAACTTGTAGCACATCGATCTCATACTCAGGACATTGTCCTGGTCCAACTAAAGAAAAAATAACTTTCCCATAGCTGCAATTAGAGGCTACTGTAGTGTAATTATGGTAGTATTTTCAAACATCAGCTATCAAATTCATGCAGTGAGGAAAATGACAGGAGGAACTACAAAATTCTGATTTAATTTCTCAAAAAAGGTGCATAAATGCTAATGAAAGAGATCTCACGTCACTATGGACATAGAGGAAAAGAAAGATAGGTCAGCTACAAACATACCCACTCAACTAGACTTTCTTCCCCCAATGGCTGAGATGTATCCACAGGCTTCCGTCCAGTAATTAGCTCCAGAAGCACAACTCCGAAGGAATATACATCTGATTTTTCAGTCAGCTTTCCACTGGATGCATATTCAGGGGCCATATATCTATGTCCGAACAAAGAAGTTAGAGTAAACATGGGCAATTAAAAGATGGCAGTACATTTTCTTATGCTCTATTTGATGTCAATGTTGGAAGAGAAACCTACCCAAATGTACCAATAACACGCGTCGTAACATGACTCTTTGCTTCCTCAGCTAGTTTAGCTAATCCAAAATCAGAAACCTATTGAAGAGGGAATTAAATGCAAAGGCAGTCTGCAAGGAAAACAATGTAAAATAAAGGAGTTTGAGGAATTAGACATACCCGAGCCTCAAAGTTATTATCCAAAAGAATATTCGAAGACTTGATATCTCTGTGGATGATACGAGGACAGCCTGCCAACAGCACCAAAAAAAATGAATAAATCAGAAAGAAAAAACCAAGAATCAAATATCATATTAGAAATCTATACTTAAAAGAGTGAACAGAATAATTTCGCCTCAAAGACTGAATTTTGGGAAAAATTCATGTTATAGTGATAAAGAATAAGATTCCCTCAAACTACAATTTTGTTAAAATTCATGTCATCTTTCAGCAATTCTCCATTAGCCAAAAGGACAACAGTAGGTCAAGAAACAAGAACAAAGGGAATATGTAAATACATATCAACACCATTATGGTAACTTTCCCAAGTCTGTTCAACACATTTCTTCTTTTAAAAGTATAAAATAGAATTCATTATTGACTGCAGTCCAACTTTGTCATAAGGAGGAAGAATGGCATTGCTTGCATTTGCATTCATGCTGATTGGTAAGGAGTGAATGTTGGCAAGTCCAAAAGAGAAACATGCGCACCACTACAGTACTACTGGAAAACCTGATGTTATCGCTTTCAACTGAAAGATATAGACTGTTTTCGAGGAGACCTTATGCTTGCTAGTAGATTAAGATGTCCTTGACTCAAGAATCTGATTTCTTGGTCCAAAAGAGAGCATATAGACATAACATAGCTGTTCAACATAAATTCAGGTGAAGTAATAGGAGTTAGGTATCATTGGGACGTCATTAAGTTATGATGAATAGGAACAGAATCTAAAGGAGCAACCAGGAATGTTATTTAGTATTTAGCTTCTCATTTCTCTTTGCCTTTTCCTTTGTGGGGGAGAGGGGGAGTGAGGGAGGTTCACTTTTATCTTGTTCACCCTGAGAAGAAATGAAGTGAACAAAACAAGGATAGATCAAAAGGTAAAAAAAGAGAACAGTAATTACAATCTTCATGCAGATAAGCTATTCCACGGGCTGCACCAACAGCAATTTTAACACGTGTTGGCCAATCCATAACAGGTCTCCCTTGCCCTGTCATTTTGTAAATTGCAAGTATTAAGAGCTAGTTTTAGTGACCTAATGCCAAAAATGAATGTTGAAATTGAAACAGATCCACATTTACCATGAAGATGGAAGTAAAGGGTGTCGTTGGGGACATAGTCATAAACAAGGAGCCTTCCACTCTCATAAACGCAATAACCTACAAGCGAAACCAAGTGTCTATGATGTATCCGACTAATGATTTCAACTTCAGCTCTGAACTCACGCTCCCCCTGGCTCCCGCCAATATTAAGCTTCTTTACTGCTACATCTCTCCCATTTGCTAGGCACCCCTTGTACACAGAACCAAATCCACCCTCACCCAATAAATTCTGCTCAGAAAATTCATTTGTAGCCTCAAGTAGTTCTCGATAAGTAAACCATGGTTTTGAATGGCCTAGTCCACCAGGATTTCCTGGAGAGTTGACAATATTTGAGCCAGTTCCATTTCCAATCACATGTGTCGATTCTCGAACCTTCAACGAGGCAGAACCTGAAGGGAATTTGCACATCTACTCAAATTTCATGTGAAAGATCTGAATGACAATTATTGCATTGATGGTGCTTGCAGCATCTAAAACATCTCAGATTAACGATACCCAAATGTTACCTGATTTTGGAGAGGAGACGAGAGTTGTTGGCAAGATATGACCACCACTCAGGCCAGAATCTTTTTTCTTTCGCTTCCAAATGCACCATCCTGCAGCTCCAATAATACCAAGCAACAGAAGCACAAGTATGATACCAATAGCAACTGATCCTCCAGTGCCAATTCCTCCATCCCCTGTAGCCTTTGATCTATCTGTCGAATTGTTTCTGGATGCAGTAGCGTCACCTGAAGGAAATGATGGTGAAGGAGGAGTAAGAGAAGGTTGTGCACCATTGGATGATTGAGGTGGTGATAATTGTGCTGTAGGTGTTGATAATGATGAGTCTGTAGGTGGGGAACTAGAGGATGCTGAGTTACTAGGAGGTAAAGAAGCTGGTGAAGGGGGTGAATTTATTGGAGGGACTAAGGCTGGGGAATCTGGAGTACTTTGTGGTGGCTTAGATGGAGGTGAATTCGCTGGCGTCTTGGATGAAGGTGGTGAATGCGATGAGGTTTTAGGAGGTTCACGAGACGGATTCCCTGGTGATCGTGGTGCTGGAGGAGTTTTTGGATTCTGCACAGGTGCTGGAGGTGACAATGCAGGGGGGAGTGTTGATGAATGAGGAGGTGACAATGCAGGGGGACGTGTCGATGGTGATGGAGGTGAACTTGCAGGACTAGTTGGTTCGGGTTGAGGTAGTGGTGGACTACTTGGTTTGCTGGATGATAGAGGTGGTGGTGAACTAGCGGGCGGACTAGAAGTTGGAGGTGAACCAGAAGGTGTAGATGGAGGTGACGAAGGAAGAGGTGGAGGACTAATTGGAGGAGCAGATTCTACAGGAGGTGTTGGTGAAGTGAGTGGAGGTGGAGATGAGGCAGGAGGAGGCAATGTTATATTTGTTGGAGGAGGGGATTGAGGCAGTGGTGCTGATGCTATAGGAGGAGATGTTGCATTTATTGGAGGAGCAGATTGTGGGTGTAAGCTGCTAGGGGGAGGAGATGCAATAGATGATGAGTTATCATTGGGCTGAGATGTAGGTGCTGAAGAAGAAAGCTGAGATGGTGAACTAAAGGAAGTTGGTGGAGCTGCAAATGATGTAGTAGAACTTGGAGTTGGAGGGGGTGAAACAATTGACATCTCACCACCACCAAAAGCAAAATAAGTTTACACCATTTACTATATAGTTATCAAAATCTGCATACATCAATGATGTATCAGCAGTCCAAGAACACTACTACTTGCTATAAATGATTTCTCAAATCAAGATTCCCCTAATATGCACTAAATTGTTTCTTATTCTACAATTTGTATCCACTGAACAATTCACCTCCACAAATACATACAGCAATTGCACTCCGCTCTCCAAAGTAAACACCAAAGATTTTGAAACCAAAAACAAGATTGAATCTTTATGGAAATTCACTCAAAAATATGTTGGTTAGCACTTTACTCAAGACTCAAGAGTTTGGTTTCTAACACCTGAAACAAACAACCAATGGCAAAAAAGAAAGAAAAAAAAAATACCCAAATCACCAAAAAGAATTATCTGAAACCCCAGGTACCAAAAGTCACAAAAAATGCACGATTTTCTTGTGGATAATATAGAATTTGTGCTTCCAAACCAAACCCCACTTTTAACAGAGGACCATAGAAGTGAATCCAACTGTAAAGATATATCCCATAAGAACTTTTATCATGGCACTGCCATGATCAAAAGCATGAGAAGTTCAGCCAATCTTGAAGTTACACAGTCGAAGAAAATGGGGGTGTCTGAAATCCTACCAGTGCACTATCCACAACACTGAAAACGACCCCAATAAACAATAGAGAATTTTTACGGATGTATGAGTATCTATTTACATATATAGGAAGTGTGAAATGTAAGAAGGGAACATGTGTGTTTTTCCAATATTGTGGAGTCATTGGATTTTGAAAACAGAAGTAGTTGCTTTCTTACAACGTCAAAATCAGTGCAAAGATTCGTCCAAAGGTTGTGCAACGCACATTATTTACTGTTTGGAGTAAATTCGACTCTATCCTCATCAAGGGTAAGTAAAGATATTTTAAACAAATATTCTTGAAGAATTTTATTAACTCCACTTAATTCACAATTTTTTTAGTTTCCTATACTGTTAATACTGGTATCATCAGTACCCGCGCGCACACAAAATAGGCTTTACCGTTTCTTTCATATTTTTCTATTGGCTTTATCTGATTAACCTAAATAGTTACTCACCCAATTGCTTAAATTAAAAAATTAAAAAATATATGATTTATATATAATCCATGTATAATATATATAATCATGTGTGATTAGTGTATTATCTATGTATATCAGCTATAAAAGATAAACAGTAAATTCGACGCATATTTTATGTAAAGATTTTCAAAGATTTTAGTGACCTGATTTTATCTATGATATGACTTCTCTTATGTCAAAAAAATCTTTTTTAAAATTCATAAATATTATCCTTTTATTTTTAAAATGGCACTATATTTTAAAAAATATCTCGTTTCGAAATAACTTTTTTTATATTTTTAAAAAAATATTTCACGTCATACAAGTTATTTTTTAAAAATATACATTTTATTAAACTTGAAAATTGATTTAGAAAACTACCAATTAGAAACCAATATCTCTCTCGTTGAAATTCAAAAAGAAAACCCTTTCATATAATCTAATAACTCAAAATTAATATCCTTCAACAAAAATAAATTAAATTCTCTAACAATAAATATGATTCTAATATTATTTACACCGTATCATTATGGTAAATCTTAAGAAGTTTTAAAATCTGAGCTAGATAACTTTCTTAACTTTAAAAAATTTAGTTTTCAATTCAAACTTATAGCTAAAATTTAGATGATATTCTTTTTAGTTTAAAATATTTATTTCTGGCTTTAAATTGAATACTATTACAACTCATAGTAACTATGTCTTAAAATTATATTCTTTAATAATCTATATGATTCTAATATAATTTTTACCGTATCATTATAATAAATATTAAGAAGTTCTATCATCCGAGACAACTTCCTTAACCTTAAACGATTTAGTTTTCAAATCAAATTTATTGCTTAAATCTTGATGATATTTTTGTATCTGAAATATTTATTTCAGAATTTAAATTAAATGCATTACAACTCATAGTAAACATGTCTTAAATTGCCAAGTGGCTTGTTAATAGCTTGCCATTTAACTTAATCTCAATATAAAATATCCTCCTTTTTAAAACTTGTTTTTTAAAACTTTTTGTTCATTATTACTTGTCTTTATTGCATTATTCATTACTTTATATTTTTATGTGGATTTTGTTAGTTTACTATTTGACAAAATATCCTTGATTAATATAAAAATAAATAATATAGATTTTTCTTACTCCTGAAAATTTAGTTTATTCACATTGATTCATTGCTCAAAAATTACCGTATTATTTAAAATTTTCAATAATTTTTTGCGTATTATTTATATACCCTCACGTAACTTCGATTCTCCTCTTTATATATATCCTTATTATGTTATTTAAATTAATTTTAAACTATTTTTGCTATTACCTCTAACCCAAATTATTTATCTTTAAATCCTAATCTCCAAACTTACAACTAGCTTTAAAGAAAATGAGGTTCTATTTTACAACTCAAATTAGAAATATTGTTGAGTGTGGCGAACTTCATTTCATTAATTATATTTTCTTTTTCTACGTCTTAAGTATTAGTTTTTGTCCTAAGATTGCCAACTTCTTATTAGCTTGGCTTAACCTCAATTCAAAATTTTCTCCCTTTTTATATATAAGATAGATGTTTTGAAAAGTATTTAATTATTTTGCTTTATCATAACTATATGGTTAGAGTTTGAATGCAAATGATTTTATCAATAGCTTTACGGTTAGATTCTAAATTTGAATGGCTATATCTATATTTATTAATCCAAATAGAGTAACCAATTAATTCAAAATTTAAAATTCAGAAGGTTTTTTTAGTTAGAAATGTAGTTTATTTTATCTTAACAATGTCACATGATTTTTTGTAGTTATGATATTTCTGCCTTTACTTTTATTATATATAGAAGATTAGTTATTCATTTCTCATTAAAAAACAGAGAAAACAAAAAATACAAGTAATGATCCATCAACGGCCTCCTCCGTAAGAGTAATCGGAGCTTACGTAGTGCGATTTATATTTTCTGTGTGATTTGTGAGCTATTGCACAGTAAACAGATAATGCGCGTCCAAAGGACAGCGATTGCGGATTTCCCTGAAAATTTTCCAAAAAAGTAATAATCAATATACTTTCACTCTCGTACGCTGCCAAAACCCAGAGGATTCTGCTATTATTTGGCTTTGATTAGGTGCCTCTATTAATTTGGATGTTGTTTATAAATTAATGATACATCATCTTAGTTAAGCAAATAATAATTTGTTTGATAGCTCCAAATCCCTTATTTGAACTGCTAACATTTAGTATTATTACTCTAATTGACATTGTCCTACTACAATTATCTGCTGATCAATTGTTGTTTCTTCAACCCTATTAGTTATTCAGACAAATTAACTTGGTTTTTTCTACTTAATTAAATGAAAAAGGTGAATCAAGATAAATGGAGTATTTAAATGGGATCCTATGTGCTTAGCCGTCAAAAAGCTATTTTCTACTTCAATCTTGTTTTCTTGTTAGCTATACACTGGCTGTCATTTGAAAGTCACCTTGTTTAACTAGTCTAGTCATAAAAGGAGTATATGTTACAATCACGTGCTACACTTGCGTAGAGATTCCACTTTTTGGAACTCCATTTTCAAATTTTTATTAGAAAAATTATGTATAATTCTTTCAGCTAGCAAACACTGTATTTTCATGCTATAAAAATTCAAAAACCAATTCATGACTTATAGTCTATTTGACAAAGATTTTTTTGGTGCGGGGAACCGCAAAAGTGCTTTTTTTCAAAGTTAAAATATTTGGCTAAATTTTTAGAAGGGAAAAAAAATATTTTTCAGTAGAAGCAGAAGTTAAAGTAGTTTTTTCCTGAAAAATATTTTTTTGAAAAACACTTTTGAGAAAATACACTTAAAAATACTTTTTAAAAGCTCGTTCAAACGCTAATTGTTGCTCAAAGGTGATTTTCAAATTCATTATTCGAATACAAACTATTTCTCACTAAAAGTATTTTGTGAAAAATACTTTTGAGAAAAATATTTTTCAAAATAAGCTGATTTTAAAAGTTTGGTTTCAAACAAGCTATTAAATTAATGGTTGAGACTTTAGATCTTACGTTAAATCCCCATAGTTTTAAAAATATGAATATAAAATCTTATATTTATTAAAATTTTAGTGATTTAACATTTGTATTTAGATTTTGTCCAAAATATTGTTAGGTTGAACTGGACATATATTGTATGCCCCGTCCACGTCTGCGTGAACCAAATATAGATACTAATTCAAAAATGAGAAGATTATGAAAATTGAATAATGTTAAAAAGTGAAGAATTTTTCCACTAAAAAGTTGAGCTAGAAGTAAATAATACTTCGATTCAAATACATGTGACAAAAACGAACAGTATGGAGGTTTCTTCATAAGTAGAAACGGAAGGTCCCTTCCAAATACGATCAAACTAATGACCAATTTAGCTAGTTGGTTAAGATTTGTTCCCCGATTCACTAAAAGACAAACCCTGATAAGAATCGCAATTAAGTACTAATTATAATTAATAATTGAAATTAAGATTGCTGACCTTGTTTACTGCAAAAATTGATTATTTTAGTAAAAAAAAAGTCGACTCATTTTGTTCCAGACCACATTGCTCTGTGCATAGTTACTGCGTGAAGTCCAACACATACATGCAGAAAGCACAATCTCGATTATTTTTAAATTGTCCCATGTAAATGACAAATCATTAAGACAATTATTGTCGCAAATTAAGGCGAACCCGTGATATTTAGGTGCTTGGTGGGTTGGTTACTTTTTGTCTTTTAATTTTATTTTTTCCTTTTTTTTGGTTAAGGGCAAATTACTACATTTTGTATTTCTTTTGTTTACTTAAGTATCTTTTCGTGATTTCAGATTTGACTCCAACAAGTAAAATAAAATAAAAATAGAACGAGGATTTTGAAATTTAAAGGCTTATTCCTAAAGCTACAACCTACGGGATTATTTGAAGAGCATTCACATAAAAAATAATGACCATCTGTCAGACTGTTGTGAGATAGAAAAAGAAATAAATTCCAAATTGCCTTTCTCTAAACTGTTTAAAATATGTAAAAAATATCATAAGGGTAGTGGTGAGATGAATATAATTCTTTCATGTTTAAATAGAGGTCTCATGTTCGAATTTTATGAATGAAGATATCATATAAGGGAGCGCTTCCCTCTTTAGAGGCTTGCTTTCTTCTTAACTCTTTAAGAGCTACAAGAAGAGCAATTATATATATACCCACCAAAAATCTCTTCCTCTTCCAATATGGGACAATGTCTCATTGTCAAGAGGGGAAAACTTAAAATTTTACTCAAAAATTTCATTTT